GATTCTCTTCTCTGCTTCAGGTTGGGCTCTGTGAGCACAGAGCTGATAACAAACAGTTCTCTCATCTGTTCAAAGGGCATTTTCCCAGAAACATCTACAATTATAGATCTATCATCCAGGGAGGTTGTCTCCAGTCCCGTGGACCTTAATCTTCTGAATAATCTGAGCAGCTGTAGTCAGAGGAACATCCAGCTGCTTGGAGATGTTCTGATGTTTCCACCTTCAACATGCTGCTCAAACATGTCCTCTCTAATCTCCTGAGATAACTCCGTCCTCAGCTTCCTGTGCTCCATGTTCAGTGTGACACACACCATGACACCAAACAGCCCTGTGACTACCTGCCACCCTGTGGACAGACTGATTACAGGACACACCTTCAGCATGTGCCTCTGCTCACATACTGTAGGTTTAAGTCTTTTCTTGGAGTAACGACCTTTTCGTCAAGGTCACTTTCATTAGTTTGTTTTTTAAATGATCCCAAACTCTAAAATCAATGACACATTTTCATTAGATTATTTTCAGAGTGTCTGATTACTTTAGTCTCTTTCAAGTTATTTCAGTGACCTCTGTGGGTTTTTCTTTCTTCAGCAAGAAGTTTCTCTCTCTCTCTCTCTCTCTCTCTCTCTCTCTCTCTCTCTCTGTGTGTGTGTGTGTGTGTGTGTGTGTGTGTCTTTAGTTGTGTGATGTTACTAATCTGATACATATCTCAGCTGACCTCTGATCAGATCTCAGGTGGTCTGTTTCCTGTTAGGATGCTCTAGTAAATATGGTTTTCTCCAAATCCTATTTTTCGGCCTCCTTTCTGAGCAGGAAGCCTCGGACAGACTTCCTCTTCACTTTTACTCTCTGAATGTTTCCAAATCATTCTCTCTGTGAACATGTGTTTTCTTCTGGACCTTTTTCAGCACGGAACTCGTTCTGCTATTTTTGCAATATTTCCACAGTTCATACATGAAAACGTTCGGCTCATTCAGGACATTCCTGCTGTGACTTTTAGTATTTGTGCAATTTTTACTTTTTGAAAAAGTTAGCTGTGTCGGCCATGTTTTTCTCATTGAAAATGGATGGAGCTCTCTTCACATCCTTCAAAGCCTTTGTGCTCTTTACAACCTTTTACTGCTCACTCCAGCTGTTGTTCTGGTTCAGAATTTTACTGATTTTTTTTCTGCTAATTTAAACTTTTTTCTGTGTTTTCATTTAATTTTTAGGTACAGTGCATCTGGAAATTATTCACAGCGCTTCACTTTTTCTACATTTTGTTGCTACAGCCTTATTCCAAATTGTATTAACTAATCTCTTTCCTCAATATTCTACACACATTACCCCATTATGACAATGTGAACAAAGATTTGAGGTTTTTGTAAATTCATTAAAAATACAAAACTAAGAACTCACATTATGTAAGTATTCACAGCCTTTGCTTCACACTTTGTTGATCCACCTTTGGCAGCAGTTACAGGCTCCAGTATTTGAATATGATGCTTCAAACACAGCACACCTACAGTATCTTTAGATAGTTTGTCCCATTCTTCTTTGCAGTACTTCTCAAGCTCCATCAGGTTGGATGGGAGACATCTGTGCAGCCATTTTCAGATATCTCCAGAGATGTTCCATCAGGTTCAAGTCTGGACTCTGGCTTGGCCCCTCCAGGACATTCACAGAGTGGTCCTGAAGCCCCTCCTTTGAGATCTTGGCCATGTGTTTTGGGTCGTTGCCCTGCTGAAAACAAACCGTCGCCCCAGTCTAAGATCAAGAGCGCTCCGGAGCAGGTTTTCATCCAGGATGTCTCTGCACGTTGCTGCGTTCATTCTTCCCTCTATCCTGGCTAGTCTGTCAGTTCCTGCTGCTGAAAAACATCCCCATAGCATGGTGGATTGCTGCAGGGATGGTTGTCCTTCTGGAAGGTTCTCTCTCCACAGAGGAACGCTGGAGCTCTGACAGAGTTCTATTCAGCGTTTTCTACACGTTTCTGTTGTTTTCTGCTGCGTTCTGCTTTTATTTTCCTGCTTTCAGCAAACGCTCACTGTTCAAATTCAACTCACAATAACCGTTGAAATCATTTCAGCTTCAGCTTCTTCAGCAGCTTTCAGCAATAATCACTCAGCAATAATCACTCAGCAATAATCACTCAGCAATAATCACTCAGCAATAATCTTTCAAACTGCATTTCCACAGGAAGACATCATTTTATTTTGTTTCCTCCTGCACCGGCACCTCTTTGTTGTGACCTTTAACAAAAAGGATTTTCTCTCATCACTTTATTTTTTGATCTCCTTCCTGTCTTTCTCTTTAAACGTTCTTCCTCTGTCTTCATCTTAATGTTTGCTCTCACTGCATGTTTTTAAAATCCGTTCTCCTCCTCTCCTCCCTTGCAGAGCCAGATTGGGCGTCGCTGACTCTGGGTGTGTTTGTCTGCCAGGCCTGCTCACTCCTTCATCGTAGCATCCCTCACATCAGCCGACTCAAGTCTGTTCAGGACTCGTGGGAGGACAGTGAGGTGGAGGTAAGGTGGTGTTGTCAATATTCATGGCTTCCCTTTTCTACTTCAGAGTATCATTTGATTCACTGATTTCACCATGTGACGTATTAACCTGAGAAAACAATGTGTGTCGTGCTCAGCTCTGTTGGCACAAAGTATAGCAGGCTGTTTTACGGTATAATTAAATCACACACAGGAGACACTTGAACCGTCACAAACATGTCATATCTGCCATTAAATACTTTGTGTACCGTATTTTTCAGCCTATAAGTCGCATGTTTGGTTTTTTTGGGTTTTTTTTTTTGTCATAATTTGCATGCCTTCTGATTTCTACACCAAAGCAACATATTTATGGACTTTTCCATTTTATTAGACAAATATGGACTGATGCAACTTACAGGGCGGTGCGACGTGTACGGTGGAAAATACGGGAAATCATTTTTGACAAAAATCTATTTATTTAACAACTTCATTAAACATTGAGAGTTCTTTTATGTAAAGTTCAGCTGCCAGAAGAACAAAGTCTATGTTGAGGGCCAGACGTCTGTCATGTTGGAAATGACGTTTTAAACATTTCTGTCCTCCTTTGCGGAGCAAAATGTCCTCCGTCCATGTGTCCGTCTGTCCATGCATGTTGTGAGTATGTTACGTTGAAACATAAGTGTGGTACAGACTTCCATTTTAGTGTGTGGCTCCATCAAAGTGTAAGAGAGGTTTCTTTCAAACATTAGGTTGCCATAACTAACAAAGTCCATGCTCAGTAATCCAGGTATACAATCCAACATTTTTCCGGAGGAGGGGGCGTGCCAAAGACACCATCTTAGCACCAACATAACTGGTTTGTTCCACTTTGGAGTAAGCTGTTGGGGGAAGAATAAGTTTTGTGTTGTGTGTTTCCTTGACTGATGAAGCCTTCTGGATGGAACGTGAAACGTTTCAGCACAAAAAAAAAAAAAAAAAGAAACTGTACAGATGACCTGACAAAAAAAATAAAAAATAAAAATGTTGGATTAGGCTGCCATGTTAGAATCCAAGATGGCTACCATCATATATGCATGTAAACTGACCACCCCTATGATTTGTGGAAACTATCCTTTCTAGTTTTTATATTACTTAAAAGTTCAGTTTCCTCAAAAGACTGTGGTGGCCTAAGAACAGTGTGTTGTAGCCAAGGCCACCACTGGCCACCCTCTGGATCCACAATGTGCCTGATGGTGAATAAAATGTCTCCGTCCATTCACCAGGATCCATCACTCTGTGCTGCCTCTGCAAATAATGTTTTATCTCTGTTCTACAGAATGTAACTCTTACCCCCCTGAATATCTTCTACCAGAAACATTAAGGTTTATTCTCTGTTCAAAGCTGGTCCTTGTCCAAAACTACGAACATTCATTATTCCAGCCACTCAGCGATGGGGGACTGGAGCGCACTGCTTGTTACACTCTGTACGTTTGTCACACTTTGTATTTGATGTTAGGGTTTTCAGAGCACATTTAAACTGTGGCTTTAATCTGCTCAAAGTGGGAGACTGTAAGAGCTTTTGTGACCTGCTACAGTCAATGTCTGAACATGAAAAGATTCACTAGAAGTATTTCTCATCTCCTCTTTAGTTAATGGCTGCAATGGGAAACAATGCTGCCAAAGCCAAATATGAGCAGAAGGTTCCTGCTTTTTACTACAGACCAACACACACAGACTGCAAGTAAGTTCACGCTCCGCCGTCACAGAACAATGAATCATGCCAATAATTCTGCTTCACTAAAAGCAAATGCTTCCAGCACTGACTGTCAGTAACTGTGTGAAACCTAAAGACACCTGTTGATCGTTACTGGGAGCTCCTTTAACTTTATAACAATAAGTGCTCCACAGGTAAACTGACCACCGCACAGAACTGCTCTAAAATACGTTTTATTTCCTAAAACTAGTAAAACTAGTCCATCATTTAGAGATATCTCAGCCAGAAATAATAATATTACATTTAAATAACATTAATTTTTACTCTTTAAGGGCCTTTAGTTTTAAAACCACACAAGAAATTCCAGTCCAGAGTTTTTGAGAGGATCCTCCACATCCAACAGCCAAAAGATTTTTGACATCATTTTTTTTATTTATATATATATTTCTTCTTAAAAGTGCACAACAGCATTTTCTGTTTTGTTTTTCTTCTTCTATAGCAGCAGATACAGTAGTCCCTCGCTACTTCATGGTTCGTTTATCGCAGACTCGCTCTGTCGCGGTTTTTCAAAATAAGACTGGACATGACACACAACTGACTGATTGATGCACGAGCCGCATCCACATGGAATTTTAAATAAAGTTATGAGTAATATGGAATATAGAACCTGAGCCAACAACGGTTGATTTTAACTGTTGGGTGATCAACGCGTGTTCCCCATTGATTCAAACCATGCAGACACATTGAAAAACTCACATCAGGATAATGCAAATCTCAAATTTACTGTGGTAGTAGCTGAGCGTTGTCCACAACACATAATCTAAATGATGTGTAATATGTTTTTAAAAAAAATTTATGCCAACTATTGGCATTAACCCTTTTTATATGTCCACTGAAGACGGACATAGTCTCCGTACAGCCGTCCATAAACTTCTTCTTGTCCCACCCATAACTTCTAATCCACTCAACATAAATTGATGAAACTTGATATACGTATATTTGTACCTTGGACAGTGTCGTATAATTTTTATCACCCCAGCTATAACGTCAAGGTCACAAATCAAGATCAAAGGTTTTACAAGGCCTTTGCTTGTCCAGGTCATTGTAATAAACTGCTGTGTAACAGTTTGTTGATGGCTAATGTGTCATGCGTTACGCTCGTTTGTCTGTTAGCAAAATATTTTATGGAAGACAGGATGCATTTTATTGAATCTTTCAAAAAGTAAGCATTGTGTATACATGTTGGGTGGGGGCCAAGGCAGGGCAGCCAACTTGGGTCCCGAAAGTCCCAGGTTCGATCCCCAGTCATTGCACATCTCATGGTGTCTCTGAGCAGGACACCCTGTCCCCAATTGCTCCCCAGGCCTGTTCAATAGCTGCCCACTGCTCCACCTGGTGGTGGATGGGTTAAATGTAGAGAGCCAGTTTTACCAATATACAGTGACGACAACACATAGCACATACAGCTGACTGACAGTTGTTCTTCTACTGGCTAAGGTTGAGCCTGCAGGTAAATCTGCTGTGGTAGTAACTGAGAGTCATCTTTAACTCGGACAGGACTGTTCAGCTAAGATGCTCCAAGATTGCACAAATTGGTATTTACAAAGTTTGATCAAAACAGCTTAACTTAATTATTTATCTTAACATAAGATGATTTTCAATTAAAACTCATGAAAGACAGAGGCCGATGCTGGGCCTTTAAATTATTTATTGTAAAAATGTTGACAAACTGCTGATTGTACACAACAAGAAGTGCTAGTTCATGAGTAGATCTGTGTGTGCAGTTCATGAGTAGATCTGTGTGTGCAGTTCATGAGTAGATCTGTGTGTGCAGTTCATGAGTAGATCTGTGTGTGCAGTTCATGAGTAGATCTGTGTGTGTGTGTGTGTGTGTGTGTGTGTGTGTGTGTGCAGTTCATGAGTAGATCTGTGTGTGCAGTTCATGAGTAGATCTGTGTGTGCAGTTCATGAGTAGATCTGT